CAAAATATCATGCTAATTTCGAACCCAGCATGTGTGTTGGGGACAAACAGAGATATGTGCAAACGGACACAACGGAATCCATTGTTCAATTATTGAATTCTCAAGATGCTCCCTGCTTAAGAAGTGCAAACCCAACCATGGAAATCCTCCTTAGAATTTCAAACTGTTTCAAAGTAAGGAAAGTAAGTACACAGCCCTCTTTCTGCCTGCCAATGAATCTATTCCAGTGAAGGGAAAACAATATTCAATCTGATGGAAAAGGAGTGGTGTGAGTCTGGTAGCTCTTGAGATCTGAAATTTATCTTCTATTTTGCAGCATAGCTATAGCATTTCAGCAAAAATTCCCGAGCAACGTCAAGAGGTGAATGCGAGATTCTGAGAACAAGAAGAGGTTTTGGCACTCTTGAGATTGATTAGATGGTTCTCTTCTTTGAAGGCCGTGCGAACCTCTAGATGACGTGGTTATATTGGAAACACAGTGTAGTGTAAGCAGGGGGGAGATGTCATTCATCATCAGTAAAGTGACTGGCCCTTTTCCGATCAGCATCTGTGATATTTGTGCTACTGCTTTCTATGGGACTCTCCGAATTGAGGGAAACACTGAAAAAAAAATGGAGGAAGTTGAATCTCTTTGTCCTGCTTTGGGCAGGTGGTGCGTTTTAAGTTTCATTTATTTGAGAAACAAATATATTCCTTAAATCATAAACTAATTTTCTGGAAACACCCTTCTTTTCTTGATTGACTACAGTATCTCTGATTGTATGGTAAGGTGGAAGAACTGATCAGGGAAATACTTACAATAAAATTATGAGTGGTAAGGACAGCCGAGAAGATCGTAGGAAGCTCACTTTCTGGTATTCAGGATGCTGCTTCTAAGCCAGTGGTTCCCAATGTGGGGCCCACACCCCAAGGGGGGGGATTTGATTTTTAATGGTGGCAATTGGAACCTTGTTTAAACCAGGTTAATGGCCTTTTAGGCTTCCTCCTGTGAGTAGGCGTTCACTTTTTGAATAGTAAGAATTATATGTCACGGAATGGGGGGGCAGGGGTGAAATGCTCCTGGTTCGGACCGGATCACCCAATCCGGTAGCGATGGCGGCAGGTGGTTTGGAGAACCAGTAGCAAAAATCCCTGCCCCCCCCACCATGGCCAGCTGAGCCGCACGATCATCAGAGGCTTTTTTTAAAAAACTTTTAAAAGCATTTTTTCTACAACCTCTTCCGACAAAAAAATGCTTTTAAAAGTTAAAAAGAAAAGCCTCTGATGATCACGCAGCTCAGCTGGGATTGTCAGAGGCTTTTCAAAGCATTTTTTTCTGCAACCTCTTGGCTGAAGAGGTGATTAAAAAAATGCTTTGAAAAGTCTCTGACGATCCCAGCTGAGTTGCCTGATCGGCAGAGAGGTATTCTTAAAAAAGCCTTTCTGATGATCCCAGCTGAGTTGCTGATTGGCAGAGAGGTATTCTTAAAACAGCCTTTCTGATGATCCCAGCTGAGTTGCCTGATCGGCAGAGGCTTTTCAAAGCATTAGAAAAAAATGCTTTGAAAAGTTAAAAAAAAAGTTGGCCACGCCCATCCCAGTCATATTATCCTCCCCCCCCCAAGCCATGCCCACAGAACCGGTAGTAACAAATTTTACATTTCACCCCAGGGGGGGCATCAGGATTTTTTAAATGCTTAAGTGGGGCATGGCCAAAAAAACGTTGGGAACCACTGTTCTAAGTGCTATGTGCTTAGAGCTCAAAGCATTGTTAGAGACCCCATACACCCACTTTATGGCCTGTTTCTGTTGCTCACTTCAGAGAGGAGGTTTTCGAAGTATTTCTAGCAGGACTACCAGATTCTGTAATAGCTTTGTTCCCTATGCCATCCGTCTGGTAAACTCGCAATGTACAGGTATCTGAACTAGACTCTGTGTATGTATGTATGTATGTATGTATGTATGTATGTATGTATGTATGTATGTATGTATTTATTTATTTATTTATTTATTTATTTATTTATTCTGTTATATTACGTAGAATATATTGGAGGTGGTAACCCTTTGAGAGTTGTATGTAACAAAATTTCACTTTAATGTATGCCGCTTAGTGTACATTCAAAGTGACAATGTTATTATTCTATTTTATTTTTATTATTCTATTCATGGGATATTCCCTCTGCTTTTCTGTTCAATACTCAGTGACTCTCAAGCCCAAGTCTGCCAAATGATCTAGAATGCTATCTTGGTCACTGAGAAACCCAGAACTGTTAGGATCACATGATCTTAATCTACCTTTCTGCATAGATCATCTACTAAGAGGATAAAGTAGAGATGGTACCAAAACAATCACCTCCTTTACAACCTTACTCTTCCCAATCATTAATATTCCGCTTTTCTAGTTTTTTTCTATACCATGTTAACGGTTCATATAATGCTTATAAGCCTTTTTTTATATTTGTATCTACTCTGTGTACAGTATGGTATGGTATGGTGTGGGTGTGTGTGTGTGAGAGAGAGAGAGAAAGAGAGAGAGAATTTAGATAAGTAAAAGAATTTGGGTTTACTCAGCAGGATAAGAACTCGTGTTATATTGTCTTTCTTTTTTGCAAGCCATGTCATTCCCACAGGAAATAAGCAACTGTATTCTCAAAACAAATCCCCTTAACTCTGTAACTATTCCTCTCTGCCTCCCTGATCTCCCAGTTCTTTAATTATGAAAATATCATTGTTAATACCATAATGGGTATTATATGAAATGTCTATTCTGCTTAATTGTTGTCTTTATTATGGAATCATTCTATTTTTCAGGCAATTTATATCCCTCTTTTAAAAAAATGAGACTCTTTAGTTCTCACAGTGTCATTCAAAGAATGACTCACATTCCTCACATTAATTGTTCAGTTCTCAAAATATAACACAGGCAGGGTGTGGTTCCAAGGGGAAAATCTACTGTACTTGCAGGACATGTTGGGAAGTGTTTCACATAAAAATTTGTTATTTTGCAAAACATTAACTCCTTTTTGCCACTTTTTGAAAAACGGGCAGTTATTTTTCTTAACACAGCCAGTTTCAGCCACAAACAATTAATTTCAAAGCAGATGGAGGCAGCAGGTGAAATTATAAGCTTTATCAAGTGTCCTTGAAGAGTCTTAGTCATGTTACTAGGACCGTGGGAGAGACACAGGAAATATCCCAACAGAGTTTCCCTTGTGAGAGAAGCCTTCTCTAAACTTTGAATGGAACACCAGGGGAAGATAGATATGTCATCCCTTTCCTACAGGCTTAATTTATGGTCAAAATAAATCCTGAGGCTTTTCTCCCCCATTCAAATGCAAAAACAAAACAAAAACCCAATCTTTCTTTAGTAGGAAAAAACATCTTGAAAAAAGGAACAGTTTTGTTTATGAAAATGGATTACATGAAAAAGATAAAACATTGTCTCCTGCCTGTACAATTATTGCAGTTGAATTCAGAGCCCTCTCTAAAATTGCATTAAAATATAATACAAAACAAAAACAAAAACCCACCTATATGGCACTCAGATGTTTTTCACATGTAGTTATGTAGACTAGTTAAATTTTAAATAATATGTTTCAGTTATGGGTTAACTGTCCTGGGGAAAGCCACACCAATGGGCCATAAGTTTCAAAAGTGGGTTTGCCATACTGTATATCACAACTGAAATTTGGTGAAAAATATTAAGGCCATTCTCAGACTTCTGCTTCCAGTTGTACAGACTTATCTGAGTAGTTATTCAGATCTGAGGAACCATGATCCACGTAAAAACTATTGAATGTGCTCTTGGTGTGATACCTTCAAACGTGTTTGTTGCATTTGTACCACCTGTTGCCACAGATGCTATGTTCGCTTTTTGTTGAGTTCTAAAAAATGCATTCAGTTGATTATATTATATATTGATTTGCTCCCTGCCTCCCCCTTAGTTCAAGCATGAGAATATTGGGCTAAGAGAATGATCTTGAAATGCTCAGAGAACTAATAGAATAGTAGAGCATATAAACAGAAACCAGAATGTCAGAAAATGCATTAATGGCAACCTATTTTGCTTCTTCTCAATGAAATGTAACAAACATTGATATTTACAGTATGTACTGTTCATGTGTACTTCAGATGCAGAGATAGATTTACCTGGCTGACACACTATTCTTAGGCATGGTATGATTAGGTTTAAAACCCCAAACCATAGATTAAATTGTAGTTAAAATGGAATTCCTTAACCCTCGTGGATTATCCTCATGATCTGGTTTTAGTTTACATGCCTTAATCATGGTATTGAACGTCATTAAAATCTCATCTTGGGCAATTACCATCCACTAGTGAGGGGTGAATAAGGGGCCCTTGGCGTTGGCCATTTTTTGTTCCCCTGATGTGCGTGTGCCAGATGTGTGTATAAAGAGTGTGTATAGTGGTTAACAATGTTTTCACAACCATATAATGTATGGGATATTTAAAGATAGAAATGCAAATGGAAAAATTCTGGCATAAGATGATGGATGCAATACCTCTAGACGTATTTTTCCACTGTTCAGTTAATCTTAGCATGAAATATGAATCTGAAGGTAACTTACAACATCCCATAGGTGATAATGGGAATATTAAGAGAGTCATTTACCACGCCATCCAATTTCTTTAATAATAATTGGTGAAGTATGCTGCTGACTGTTTTACAGACTTTTGATAAATGTCATAATGTGAGCCATGCAGGCCCCAAGTATTTCCCAACAATTTCTTAGTATGACTGGAGTCAGGTTTATAGACCATATTTATTTGTGGTTCAGTTTAATAGCTGAAAAAAATGTACAGCCAAAGAGTATTGCTAGCGGTGCAGAAAGCGTTTCACAGAATCAAGCATGTTTCTCTTCAGATTTGGCTTGTTGGCATTTGAAACTATAATGAAGAGCACCAGTATTGTGTAACATTTGGATTAAGTAAAATAAAATAATGGATTTATATTTCAAACACTAGTATTAGGGTCTTTTTTGTTTTGTTTTTTTGGATAGGAGGAGAATCTATTCACCAAGGTGTCTGAATATTTTCAAGGTTCAGCTGAAGATAGAAAATGCCAGATTTCCCTGACTCAACAGGAAAAACAAGACACTCTAAAAAAGTTGTAAGTGCTCTTTCTACAAGCCCCACAGCATGCACTTTTTATATAACCAAGATGTGAATATAAAATTTAATAATGTCAAAGCAGCTGTCTCCTTCACTCCAGAAGTATGTGGAGGTAAAGTTAACTTTGAATAAAATCAACTTTCTAAAAATAACGATTGGCTGGAATCAGCAGCAAAGTTAAATTATAATGGAAGTTGAGGGTCCATGATGGCAAACCTATGGTACGCGTGCCACAGGTGGCACGCAGCTCACTCTCTGTGGGCACGCGAGCCATCGCCCCAGTTCAGTTATGCTGTACATGCGCGTGTGCTTCCCACCAGCCAGCTGGTCATCGGGTCTCTGCATGCGCAGAGGGCGGGGAACATGCGGGGTGGCCGTGCACGCATGCACTAGAGCGCATGCAGGGGGTGCATGCACGGGGTTGGAGCATGGGGGGGCACGCATGCATGCTTAGGGGTTGGAGTGTGTGAGGGGTGCACACATATGTGCGGAGAGTGGGGTGCATGCATGGGAGGTGCACACGCATTGCATTTTGAGTGTTCCCAGGCACATGCGCGCACTTTGGGCACTTGGTTCGGAAAAGGTTAGCCATCATTGTTCTAAGGTCTAAAGGCAAATTATATTTATATTAAGGGCTAATTTCACCACTACCCCATGCCCTAATTTCTTTCCACATGTCACTTAATTGTAAGTACATAGATGGTAGTAGTAGTATGATATCTATTTTTTTTTTAAATCTTGCTACTTTATTTTTGTAGATTCCAATATATTGTGCTTATTTCTAAAGAACTGATTTGATTAAATGTCGACTTCATCACAAAAACAAAATCAATATTTTCCAAGATATAAGAAAATTAGCACTGTTCTTTTATAATGGAAGATTTATTCTTCGGTCCAGCTAGGTGGTGGCATTTATCCAACCTTGTCTGATCTCAAAAACTTAAGCAGTCTCAAACCTGGTTAGTATTTGGAAGTATGAAAAACCTAAAATAATTGTTGTGCTATAACAATATCTATTATTTTTAGAAATCAAAGTAGAAAAACCACTAAACTGTTGAAAAAAAGACAACATGTCCAACACACACACTCGAATATGGTGAAGAGTGAGGTAGAAACCTATTCTTCCTATGAAAGTATTTTTACTGTTAGTAGTCTGATTGTCTTTATCCTGCCACCTTTCCAATCTTTAGGCTATTGTAATGGTCTTTCTTATCCGAATCTTCATCTGCTGTGGATTCCATCAGCCAGGCTGATACTTACAGGTCCTCTAGTGACTCAGGAGTCCATATCCACTCTGAATTATCTAATTCCGCATTATGGATTTACCTGGACATTTAAAATACTGAGGAGAAACTTGTTTAAATTGTCTCTACTGTTCAAGGCCCATCTGTCACATAGGCAGAAGTGAGCTTTCTCCAATACTGTAAACTAAGGAATGCATTCCTACATGCAAAACTCAACTTAGTTTACAATTTTCTATTGTTAGAACTATGAATAAGGAATACAGAGCTTTTGGACTTTAAAAAAAATGAGCAGCAGCTCTGTTTTTGAGTAACTCTTAATTTATTTTTCCTTATTTTCCAGTTTTATTGTTAGAATATTGTAAGCTGTCTTGATTATCCTGCTTAGATGGAAAGATAGGATGTAACTTGAATGATAAGAGCTGTAGAAATAATTATATAAAATAAAATGGGGTCCTTTGATAGTTTGGAAATCGATGAGGGTCTTTTAGGCTGAAGAAAAGACTGCATAGTTCTTCTAATTCAATATATCTTGGCTCAAAATAAAAATTTCTGAAGCTGGAGCATTGTTCGTCTTACTGTAGTTTAAAAATAACTAATTTATTATGACATAAGCTTTCATTAATTAGAAATGTTCCGTGATAAATTCTTTAATCTTTGAGGAACTTCAAGACTTCTGTGTTGATCTTTGTAGTAAAAAACATTAAGATGATTTAAACTTCAGTTTCAGTTATTGACTTTTTCATTTCTGAGAAAGCTAATCTCACAATTCAAGATCCAGAGCGCTATTTGGCTGTGCTTGCGGTTAACACTTAGGCTGCTTAAAGTTCAGTTGTGTGTAACAGATGGTGCTATTTAACTTCATATTGCTTAAGAGTTTTCTTTTTCTACTGCTGCTACCCGAATAAACACCCAGCATCTCAATTTTATGATTTTTTAAAATTTTGTGTCACTGGTTGCTTCTTATGAGTGTTTGTGATGGAGTTGAACAAATCATAGCAAACCAGATTCTTGTTTCATTCATTCAAGTTATCCAATAAACAATGTGTCATTGGGAAAAGGTACAGCCTTTAGATTCCGTAACTGATCACAGAACGTACAATCACACTCTTATATTGCTGTGTAAGAAATTTATCCTATTCTGCCACGGCAAAAGGCTTAAACTTATTAGCATTTAGGAAATTTCTAACGTTAACAACCACTTAGGCTCCAAATTCTACCTTTGACTCATCTTTCCATAGAATATTCCTATAAACGATTATCCAGGTGCTTTTTAATAAACTTGAAATGAGCATCAGTGTTCATTTTAGAAGCAATCAATGGCTTCTTTTCTCCCATGAACTCCATTTGAACTTCCTTGAACTTCACTGTTTTTCAGTCATGATGACTGAAGTTACCTAAGGCCAGGGAGATCAACAGATCCATCGTGTTCTTCTGGGATTTGGTGTAATATTATAAACAATTTAACCTTGCACTCTTGCAGGGGTTTTGACCCAGTGACCACTCTTGGAAAGATTAGCTATTGTATCTAATCTTCTCCAGCTCAAGACTTTGCTTCCAAATATAGTATAGAACCGTGATGGCGAACCTATGGCATGCGTGCCAGAGGTGGCACGCAGAACCTTCTCAGTGGGCATGCGTGCCATCGCCAGCTTCTCTTCTGGTTTCCAGCGCACTGGCCAGCTGGTGTTCGTAGGTGCCAGAGCACTGGAAAATGGCCGAAAAACAGGCATGCGCCTGCCGGCTAGCTGGTCTTCGGGTTTCCGGCGCTGGGTTTTGGCACTCAGTGCCAAAAAGGTTCGCCATCACTGGTATAGAACAATGGAGACCTAGACTTTTAGAAATAGCTTTTCTATTTTTTCTAGACCCTTAGGCATTTATACCTTTTTATAGAAGTCTTCAGAAATTTCTTTTGAACAGGGCTTGATGTGCCTATAGGCTCTGTGTGCTGAGCACTTCACAGGAACATAGGGAACAAGGCTTTATTAAATAATAATAATAAATTTATTTACGGTCACAGACCAAACAAGGCTTTATTAAATTTATATATGTATGAGCCATGGTGGCGCAGTGGTTAGAGTGCAATATTGCAGGCTACTTCTGCTGACTGCCGGCTACCTGCAATTTGGCAGTTCAAATCTCACCAGGCTCAAGGGTGACCCAGCCTTCCATCCTTCCAAGGTGGGTAACATGAGCACCCAGATTGTTGCGGGCAATATGCTGACTCTGTAAACCGCTTAGAGAGGGCTGTAAAGTACTGTAAAACGGTATATAAGTCTAAGTGCTATTCCTATTGCTATATAGGATAGGATTGCCCCAAATCAGGAGGTGGCTTATTGGCTAGGCAAGCAATCTCCAAGGAGCTATTGCAGATGTCCTGTTATGACAACAATGTTATTATGTTTTGAATCTCTGCTAGCCTTGTAACTGGAAGAAGCATGTTGAATTTGTAAATAGATACACCTCTAATATAAAATCAAGGCATCATAAGGCACATATCTTTCGTAATTCGATATATGCCGTATTCGTGAGAATGGAATGCTAAATACCCTAGAGTATCAAGGTGTTGAAAAAAGAATCCACCCCACTCAATTGAAGGCAAGTTTCCATTCTGAATGTTTGCACATCTTGCTTTGTTGGAAGCCATCGCTTAAGGGAAGCATTTCAAGATGACCTACATTGTGGGTTATAACTTCTGCATGGAATATCAATCTGTCCTGTGGATTTAAATTTTAACTCCTACAGAGCTCATTGTTTTACTAAATATCACTTCCCTCAGGGCAGATGGATATCTCTTAATCTGATGAATAATGGGGAAAAGTCATCAAGATCATTTTAACATTTCCAGTAGTGGAGGTTCTCCAAATTTCTAAAAACAATGAAGTGTTAAGACATCTGCATTATGAAAATAAAATGGTTTTAATTATTTTTATTTTTATTTAGAATGAAGAGGGCAACACATGCTAACAAGAAGAAACCTCAGCCCAGGGTGGCCACCACGAAAGTATATCTTGGCTCACCAGATTCAGACACGGAGTAGGAAGAATGCATTTCAACCAGTTTGATGCTCCAGCCTGAACTGAAAATGTAGGCGTAAAACACAATCAAAAGATTGCATAAATAGAGCTAAGAGCAGCTTGGGACTTCCTGTTTCAGAATGGGCAATGATGTGGACTGGAGACAGCCAAGCAACGCTAACAGCCAGCAAAAACTTCATTTGTGGAGTGGTTAGACATGACTTCTCTGCAGGAACCCTCAGCGGTGCTATGAGTCAGCACTGCCACATCCAAACCGAAGTCAAAGGGTGACTGAAAGAACTGAAATAGTGCGCTGTGCATGCAGGAGGAAGAAAGATGTCTCCAAGGCCAGGATCACCCGGTTCCCAGATGCAAGAGTCCTACTTGGTAGTTCAGAGCCCTCTTCTAGAGAAGTCCCCACCAAATCCCACATCGTGATCCGAATGAGGCTTGGCAGGATTCACGTCTGATGAAGAATTGCTTACTTAAAGAAAAAAACTTCCCTTGAGACTGGTTTTATGAGAAGTGCTACAGCATTGTGCAGACAGACCCAATTCAACCACAGACACCAAATAGTCCTTAATGTTTCACTCCTGAAATATGCCAAGCCAGGGTTGAGAGAGAGGGAGAGATCCAAAAACAGGGTGAAAGGAAAAAGGTAAAAAATAAGGCAAGAAAATCTGTGCCTTCCTCTGGTGCTACCGTATCCCTTTTACATGTGTCACGTGTAATGAACAAGTAGACTTTGCTGAAGATTTGAAAGCAATTCCTGAACTAATTAAGAAGTCTGAGATTTTTAGGGACACTGAAATAAGCAAAATTCAGGATGCATGGCAGTCAAGGATAGCTCCATAGCTTGAATCATAAGGAATCATTCTGAGTTCTGTTTCCTTGGCATATAATTGACAGATTTGAAGTTTCTCCATCACAATGACAGAAATCTGTTTTATGGTCCTTTGTCTGTTTAGCTCTTCTGTTTTTATTTAATAGTATAATGGAAAATAAATATTTTCCTTCTGTAAAATGTGTTTTTACACATCTTTTTTTCCCTGTGTCTTGTCTGATAAATCACTTTGCATATTCAAAACTTCTTTTGAAGAAATGATGCCGTATGCTTAAGTGAATAGATTTCCACAAGACACAGATTAAAGAATCGAACCATTAGTGCCTGAAATCCACATAAAGAGCCTTTTTCTAACTATGGTCCATTTGAGGTTATCAGCTTTGCTGTTCCGTTGCCTCATTTTCCTGTTGCAATAAATGTTGATGAGGAAATTAAACTGCATCAGGATTGCTTCAAGCAGGCTTAGCACCTTAATAGCTGGAGGGCTCATTGTCTAGACTCTAGGACAATCGATCCTAACAATAATATCCTTGGTTTGTTTGTTACTCGTGCACATTTCTTTTTACTCTTTCTAAAAGAAGTGTGGGAGAATGTTATTTCCCAATATAATCTCACAACAGCGCTGTACAGTAAGCCTGAAAGAAAGAAAACAAATGCCCCAAGATAAATGAAATTTAGGGGTAGTGAAATTTCTGATCTAGAAATTCACTGTCCTCTTTGGTGCTGTGAACATAGCACCATCCTATGAATGTCAAAATGATACTTTTTTAAAAATCACATAATTGTTTCAATACAATGATTTAATGCTTTTAAAGATCTGTAGTATAAACTGTTACAAATCCAATCCAATGACATTGAAGATCTTGTTTACTTTGCATTTGAATTAAAACAGTACTGATACTATTTTAAAAAGTATATAAACTTCACTGTAGGTCCCTCCCACCCATTTTAAAATTCCTTTTGTCCCATTAAGAGATTCTCTGCAGTTGTCAAGATTCATTGACTGATTTTATTTTATGTGCCTTAGCATGTTTGAGCAAGCAAAACTGAAATGCTTCAACATTCATTTCTTAAATAGTTTAAAGCCTTTCCATTTATACCAAGGAGAGTGAACAGAACTTAGAAAAGTACTTCCTTCTAGAAGGAAAATATCTGATGTCTCTTTCATGTACATTACTAACCCAAATATATTATCAAGGACATAGTTGAATCTACTTTCTGGCAAATGTTTCACCTTCATTGATCAGACTGAAAGACACGTGCATTATAAAGTTTAAGAAAGACATGAATCGGCTTCCGGTTTGGCTTCTGTCGTCGCTAGACGGTCTTTTGGGACCACCACCCCCGCCGCCCGTAAAGCGCCGCCTTCACAGCTGAGAGGCGGCTCGAAAAACTCCGTTTCCTTAAGGAAATGTGAGGTGAGCCGGCGAGAGCAGGTAGAGCCCTCTGCGAAGTCCCCAGAGTTTTTTTTTTACTCTTGGGGAGGTAGGATGAGGCTCCCTATCCAGCTCGCCGCTGCTCCGGGCTGCAGGAGAACTCTGCACTTTGCAGAGCTAGACGATGTGACCAACCTAATTAGCAAAAACTAACAGATTGCTTGAATAAGCAGGATGAAATCCGGATTTGGGACTCTAAATCGCAAATATTTGTAACAACCCTATGATTGATTTTACGAATGAGGAAAGAGTGAAAAGGGGAAAAAAAAGTTTAAAATGGCGGCTGGCTGAGGCTTGAGAAGAAAGCTGAAAGCGAAAATCTCTGTTTGAATGGTTTAACTTGCTACAAAGTATCTGAAGCAATAGTGCTGGCTACAAGGGAAGAGAAAAATTTCTGTGTCATGCTTCTTCCTTTCTTAGAGACTTGATATTGATATTGTGTGGAGAAAAGACTTTTTCTTTCTTTAAAAAGAGTCTGTTTGGGTGGCAGGATGGCGTTAAAACTGACAAAGCCAGACAACCAAGCTGTGGGGGGGGGGGGTGTCCCCCATTTATAAATCACAAGAGCAATTTTTGAGCTCGCAGATGCAAAAGAATGGTTTTAAAGTTTTAAAGGAATTTGTTGTGGAGGAGTTGGCAAGACATGATGAAATTATGAACCAGAAACTTGAAAAATTTAGACAGGAAATTAAAGAGTTGGTTCAACAAAAGTATGATAACCTGAAGTGATATATTATAACAGCTTTGAAAAGTTTTTCAGAAGTAATTTTAAAGATGGATAAAGATATTAATTTAGAAATAGACTCTAAAATGAAGGAAGCTGATTATAAGATTCATAATCTGGATAATAAAATACAAAGAATTGAAAATGATTTGACAATGATTCAAGAAAATAGCTTAGAAGTAGAGTCTAAAATGAAGGAAGCTGATCACAAGACTTACAATGCAGATAATATAAAGCAAAGGGTTGAAAATGAAGTTACAATGATGCAATTTAGATCCATGGAATTTGCAATCAGAATGAGGAATACAGGAAAATAACAGGGAGGACTTGAGAAAGATGTCTGCTGAAGTTCTGGCTGTGATCTTAAAGGTCAGCTCTGAAGAAGTATTTTGTAAGATTGATAAGGCCTACAGAGTAAATTCTTGGGTGGCAAAGCAAAGACAACTGCCTAGAGATGTGGTGGTTTATTTTACTGATAAAGGAATAAGAAATGATATTGTGCAAAAGTCTTTTAACTTCACCCTAGAAATGAATGGAAAGAAGATCTGGATATATAAAGAGCTGCCGTCCAAGATGTTAAAAGATAGAAAGGATTTTGGAGTTTTGGTGACTGAGCTAAAGAAACAAAACATCCCATTTAGGTGGGATGCTCCAGTTGATATAATATTGAGATATCAAGGAGAAAGATATCAATTAAACACTGTTGAAAAAGCGGAAGAATTTTACTACAAGGTTTTTAAAATGGGCCCAACATCTCCACGTATATCATCAGTGTCAGGAATACAGGAGGGGGATAAAGAAAAGCAAAATGAACAAGAGATTGAAACTCAGGCTAAGCAGATGGAGATGGAGGTAATGGAAAAACGACAAGTTATAGAGGGCTTTTTGGATGAGCCGCTTTTGGATTCTCCTTCAGAGGCTATCGCTGGATCACCTATAAATACAAGAGAGGCGGCTTCGGATCTCGATTTGATGTCTTATCAAGTTAAAGACCAGCATGTAATTCAATCAGCTGATATACAAGTCCTAGAAAGGCAACCAGGGTGGAGATCTAAACCACAACAAGTTAAGAAAAGAAGAAGCAGGTTCTACAAAACTAAAAAATTTTAAACTACAATTTTTTTTTAGTCAACAGATTAATGCCAGTTATTTAAGAGACGATTAAATATAATAAGCAGGATTTATAGAAGGCTGATACATGAAAATATAGCTGAGGCAAATTACAGACTTATACTATTTTGAGAAGAATAACAGATCTCTGCAGTGCTGGTGCTTTTGGGATGTGGAAGATGGCCTGTGATTGACCGGATTGGAACTTTCTATTTTGGACTCTTTGAAAAATGGATTACGTATATGTTGAGCTACAAGGCAAGAGAACTATGGAATTGGGGCATGCAGATGATCTGGCTGTTACCCTAACGTGGTTGTCGGAATTAATAATCTAGACAAAAGACATTACAGAAGATACCATATGGAACATAAAGTCACTCGGGTTTTTTTTTTTCATATACAGAAATACTTATTAATGATGGGGGCAGATGGTAATTGAAGATACTGAATATACTGTTGGAAGCAGGACTTGATGTTACCCTAACATGGTCGATGGAATTAACAATCTAGTTGAAAGACATTACAGAAGATATTATATGGAATACAAATTTAAAGTCATTTGAGGGTTTTATTTATATATGGAAATATCTTTTAGTGATACGGGCAGAAGAATAAAGATATTAAATATATTATGTATGGTAGACCTGTAGGAAAGTGGGTGAAATAAAATTGATATGGTACAAGGTGATAGGTAATGTTACTGATTGCTTAGTTTAGGAAAAGGGATGTTATGTTTAGATATTAATATACTTAAAAGATTTGTGTTAAGAGATATACGTATGGGGGTGGATTATGAGTAGAATAAATGCCAAATTAGGATTTATTATATAGTTTCATAGCCGAATGTTGTTTGAAATGTATAGTATGCGGGGGACATAATAATAATGTTAGAAAGAAATGTTTAGCACATGGGGGATGGTGTAAAAGGGTGGTAAAGTATTATATAATGTGATATTAATTTGGATTTCATCTTGCAGAAGCCATGGGGGGAGGGGAGGGGGAGGGGGGTTAGGGAGTGGTGGGGGGAAAGGGGGAAAAATTTGTATTTGAAAAACTTTTTCAATAAAAAAAAAAGAAAGACATGAATCAATAAAATAAATGATTGTATTTAAAATATACTGGTACATGTTGATAAGCTGTTTTGAAAGCTAAATAGGCCGAAACAATTAGAAATTCAGAAACATAGCACTCAGCTCTTGATTCTTAGCTGTCAGCAGTTCTACAAATTTGTCATACAAATGAACCATATTTTTCTGGGATCTCTTCAATTCATTGAGGCCTGGATTGCTTAATCTAGCAAGATTTGTGATCCTTCTGAAAGAAAGTATCTAAAGTTTGCAAGATCCCACCAATAGTATTCTACTTTCCCATACAGTATTCTATTTTTACGAATCTGGTTTTATTACTTTGGTCATCAGATACATCAGACAATTGAATGCGTCATCCAATGATCCTGCCATTATTGCTACCCCTCCTTTACAACTGAATTCTGAATTGATCAAAACTCCTTTTCTTTGTTCTTTTTAAAAATCTGGTGGTTCTCCTTATCTCCTTCATGGTACCCATTCATGTCCTGACTCATATCACCAATTTTACTAGAGGTTTAAAAAATAATTGTAAGAAACAAAATTTGTTATTGTTTCTAACTGTGTAGCATGTTTCATTGTAGTGGAATACTAGTCTTTAATCCAAAAATATTGATGTGTGATTAATGAAATTATAAACACGTTGAATATGAAGAAGGAGAAGGAGAAGATGACGACAATAAAGCCACGGTACTACTTCTTCATCTTTCCAAGTATTGGGGTAATCTCACCTTCTGGCAAGTGAATGCAGTTAGACAGAACCATATTTTGACCCTTTATTGAGGAATAGCATGGGAATACTTTGGTTTCTTCCAAAGCTTTTAACATCATAATACTTCTAAGCACTTATTGGGCTAGGAAAGCCAGATCCTGGCTTGTTGGGCCACCATTTTTCAAGGTGATACCAAGAAGGTGAAAGGTTTGGGGATCTCTATGATACAATAAACAGTCTTCCATAGCATTAGGACAAGTCTAGGTAGGAAGAGGTTGTAATACGGCAGGTGGGCTTGCATAGCTAAATATATTGGAATAGAGAGCAATTAAGTGGATAAGATCAGCCGTGGATGGGGGGGAAAGTGCTGTGAAGGTACTTAATAAAAAAAAAATCCAATCTAGAAACCATAACTTAGATGAGTGGGTGTGCACGGTTAATCATCATGGAATGCTGTGGTCCAGATGTTTCTACAAGACAAGGGTCTGCCAGAAAACTAAATCTCCATTTTGTTGCAGGTCAGTGCCTTCTGAAGTTTGGCGCCAAGAAACCTTTGAGTTCCAGTGCAAACATAATCTGTATGCTTGCAGGCAATTCTGATTCCAAACTGATTCTGGCTTAATCTTGGCAAATTAAGAGCAGTGTGTGAAGAAAAACACTTTCTAAGAACATTTTCAGCAGCAGTTTGCCATTCTTTTATACATTAAGAATGGTTAAGGGATACATATCAGAACAATAGCATAATATTGTTGTTTCTGGAGCATCCTGAGGAATCTGGAATTAAATATTCCAGAAGGAGAATTGCCAAATTCAACTACTCTTTCTGCAAGAATAAACATCTGACAAATACAGGAGCTTTCATATTCCTTCACTCAATTTTCTAGTAGTGGGGTTGCCATACAGTCCCATTCATTTTAGCATGACTGATGGAAGAGGTTCCCTGGGCAATAACACTGATTTAGCCTGTGATAAATAGATAATAACCTATTTATTTTAATACAAGCATTTGTATGCTACCTGATTCCCCAGAGCGTTGACATCTAAATGATTATGAATTATAAAAGTTGTTCAGCATTCCATATTAGAGAAGTAAGTTGAGGGTGGCACCATTGCTAGAGAAAATGCCCAAGCCGTAATCTCATTTATTTCAATCAACAGAATGGACTAGAATCTCTTTTTCCTCCTTTTAAATACTCTCTGGAAAGACTTTCCCCTTCTTGGCAGAGTCCCAATTTGAGCGACTTGCTGTGGAGTCTGTCATGGGGGGTTTCTTTGCTCTGAGTCCAGAGAAAACTTTGCTCCTGGTTATGCTGGTGAACCCGTCTGCATATGAAGACGCCATTTCAAAATTTAGTGTGGAAAGAAAAACATCTCTCAAGAGCGTGAGG